CTTTTAAATTTCAAACTGACCACACGAATGATACACGTACGGACGATACAAGTACGGAGAATAAATGATGAATGGACGATGAATGCTCGGTGAATGATACACTCACGAAGAGTGTTGACCGTTACACGGAGGATTAACGCATAATAGAGGTTTTCCCGATTGTCTACGTATTAGGTACGGTTGGTACGTAACTCAACCGTTAGTGTTGTTTTGGAGGTATCATATAATGCATGAGATTATTTTATTCAACATGATGAAATTAAAGAAATCGAATTGCATATCAGCAAAAAATACCGTAACTTTTTTCTTTTATAACGATTTCGCCGTTGATAGAACACTTTGTGTGTGAATCTATATGATATTATTTATTTAGTGCACAAGTTCATGGGTCAAACAGACCTTACTCGAACTGAGTTGACACGGCCTTTAGATTCTAAATATAGATTTTCATTTCTGTTTGTTTTATGTGTTGTTTTTGTTTTGCTTTTTTATAGAAAATTTTGGAATAATTAGAATACTATCTATGATCGACTGTCTTAAACATGTCGTATTACTGATGTTAGTTATATACGTTAACATGACAAAATTGTGTTGATTTCTCATTAGTTCTTGCATGATTTTAAAATTGGTTATTATTATTTAAGTAATCTATTTTTATCATTGCAGCAGAATATTTTCTTTCTTGAAAAGATGAGAGAGCTGGGTTTTCATATTGAGTGAGAAAAGGACACCGATCTTATTTTGTTTAATCAACAACTGACGATTTTTTTATTCTAGAAATGCATTCTAAAAATTAAACTGAAAACAATTTAATAAATATCTACTTCTCTATTGCCGATAAAAATAATGTCTAGAATCATTGAAGTAAAAGTTAACGACTAGAACAATTGTCATATAATAAATTGCACTGACACTCGTATCCTTGAAATAGTTTATTAGCGTATCTTCTAATTTTACCCCTTCTTCGTACTTTTATTATCGGTAAAATTGCTCATACAGAAGAAAAAGAAAAAGAAGAAGAAGAAGAAGAAGAATATTTTATTCCAATTAAGGACCCCGAAGAGCATACACATTTGACATGACAATAAAAGTATAGTTTGAGAATAACACAAATAACATTCAATAAAATCAAGTGATATATACTTTCTTAAGTAAATATTTAAGCAGTTTAAGCTTTTATAACATGTACAATACACAATGCAAGTGTGGTTGATATAAGGTTGATAATTGTATATATTGAGAAAAAAAATAATAATACATAGTTGAATAAAAGATATATTTAAAGTCTAGAAGATTCAGCATGTTTACAGTCCTTCCCATGTCAGCAGCAAGTAAGATAGCAGTGTGGTATATATTAAATGCAGCTGAACCAAGAGGATGATATCTTAAAGACTGACTGACATGCTAAATATATTATGTAGATGCGGACCAGCACCCCACCCCCACCCCCTCCACAACTAAAAGAAAAGAAATAGATATACAAATATTTGAATTTACATATAAAATTGATAAAAAAAATCAAACTTCTATTCACTATAGATTTTCAAAAATGGAGACTAAAATATATCCATATTTAAATGCACCGAATCGAATGCATATATGATAACAACTACTTATAAGTTGTTGCGCTTCGCATGTTATGTGGTGTAGAGACATGCTTCTAATCATGTCACAACCACAGCTCAGCTTAAGGCCTCTTCTGAACTACTAGAATTTCAGTGTTTTTAACGAGTTCCTTAACTACTATCAAAGAACTGATCATTTAGTTTTGTAATAAAACATATGAAAATAGTGGAACTAACCTTTTTTGGAGTGTAAAAAAATCTTTGGATGTATTAGATAAATTACGTGCTTTTGATGGCCCTTTTGGGTCGGTTGACAGTTCTGACTTTCCACTCTTTACACTACACCTCCACACAATCTTATCAAACAAAAGTTTTCCTATTTAATTAAATGGTCGTTCGAAAAATCTGATTGCAAATTTATTTGCTGCAACTCATATAAAGCTACCACAAATTACTTAAAACTTGACTAAATTCTTCCATAGATACAAAAATGTGGTTTGCAGTTTTGGCTGTAATTGTAAAAAACTTATCTCAGACGGAATAGCACATCCTAAATTTTACTGTGATGTTGTTTACTGAGCCCGAAAATTTATATACGATCCGGGTAAATTTATCGATCCTTTAAATAAACTTATTCTAAAAGGTTACCAATTCAACACTGTAATTAGATCTTTGAATATTGTTTTTATTGGTATTAATATTGATTTTGTTATCAGTAAATTAAAATCATACTAAATAGTTTTGTTATACACATTTGCACTTTAACGGAACTACAATCTGTCGATCCCTTTATTTTGGCATTGTACAAGGTCGGGTTTTTGTCTGACTGTTAATAACGTCTTTACATTAAATCCAGTGGATGTTAGATGTGTACTGATTGATATTTTAGTCTTAGATACATGATTTTTTTTTATAAGTTGTTGTTGGCTTTGAACTAGCTGTTGGTAACTGCGAGTACTCTCAGATCTGTACTTAGTGTCCTTTTTGTTGTTAGGGATGAGGGATGGATAAATACCCTGCCACGACCGGTCTATGTTTATTTTGTTTTTTTTCTGCTTTGTATCGATCTGATGAGTTAAGCCTTTTTTAACTGATTTTTATAGTTTGTTCTTGTGTTGTGCTGTTACACAACTGTCCCAGGTTAGGGGTATTGTTGAGCGCTCACATAAAAGTTTAATCCCGCCACATTCTTTATATGCCTGTCCCAAGTCAGGAGCCTGTAGTTCAGTGGTTGTCGTTGGTTCATGTCTGTCATATTTGTTTTTTCGTAAATTATTTTGTTATAAATTAAGCGTATAGTTTTCTCAAGTGAATTGTTTCATATTTTTCAAGTCGGGGCAATTTTTTAGCCGACTACACGGTATGGGCTTTTCTCATTGTTGAAGGCCGTACGGTTGCCTAAAATTGCTAACATCCACTTTATTTTAACTTTTGTCAATAGTTGTCTCATTGACAATCATACCTCATCTCCATTTTTTTATATCGTAAATTTAAGTTAAAATACAAATTAAAAAAAAAAGTTATAAAAAACTTTCTTTAACAAATTTTATACAAACTTCTTTTCAACAAGTCTAAATTACATTTTCTAAAAGAGAGCTAAGAACTGTTTGTATTGCAGTAAATTTAATTCATTTGAAATTTATGCCGATATTCAAAAAGACTCGTTTCATTGTTATTACAACAAACAGGTCATAATAACACGACAGAGCGTTTTGTTTCAGTACGGTCTAGATAAATATACAAAAAGACAATTTTAGACAAACTACCTCATAAGCCTGGAAATATCGTGGCCATTCACATATGTGAAAATGTCTTTATCCTACCTGTATTAAAAGCATAAAAGGTAGCAATATAGGTAACTTGAATGCAGTTGACACCAGGGGGCAATGCCAAATAGGATACAGGAACATTTTCATTTATAGATGGAAAAAAAAGAAACATATTAATCAATATATATCTTTCATTTCCATTTTTTTAAAGGACTAGAATTTGTTTGTTTGACGTGTAAGACGATTTTTCGTGAACATGCAGAAATATGCAAGAATGGTAAAAATAATAAGTGAACTACGTTAATAAGTGATAATATTTAATTACATTATAGAATGCGAAGAATTGATACGTATTATTACAAAAAAATGTTGATGACCCACATGGTTTTGTGTTTATATGTATTTGTAACAATTTTTGTTACAGTGTTTTTTTTTCATCTTTATATACTAGTTTTGTTCTCAATAGAATTTATACTGACTTTTAAGATATTAATTCCTTTTACGTGACTATTTTGGGATCGAATTTAATGAGGTTGATATGCCAAAAATAGAAGAAGAAAAAAATGTACTAGTAAGTTGCAGATCAATAAGACATCGTATAGATGGGACATGTCTTCAGAATAAATGAAGATGAAACATTTTGAAGGAGGCGTGAAGTTAGCGATTTTTGTTTTGTTTACTTTGCACCATAAATTTAAGTATATCTCTCTTCGATTAATCTTCCTCTGAGCATATTCTTGAGGGAAAGAAAAGCAATTAATTAATCAATAACCCTTTCATTTATCATTTGTCGTACTACGATTTAAAAAGTACATCAAACGGAACCAAAACTGTATGAGATGTTAGTTATACGCCAATTAGACAGCAATCAAACGACAAAAACCACCTAAGCACATCTAGAGGGTTACATATAGTGTTCAACAAAAGACAGGTGAGTAAACAATATGTCAAGTTCTAAATCGTTTATGTCGGTATCAAAAGCTCACTCAGAGCTTATGTTGTATCGTTATTTAACTTGCCGACTTCAAAGAAAACTTATTTGATTTGATTTGATCGTCACAAATTTGTATAAAAATTGAGCATAAATTTACCAAAGATCTGGCATTAAAACACAATTCTCCAAATACTGTACGCATAACAAGAATATGTTTTAATTAAGGAAAGTGTGAATTTTATTTTAAAAAATGACCGATATAAAGTGTTGTTTTCATTTTTTCACAGTACTGGGTCAATACCGCTGCTGATGGACTATTAGTCCCTGAGGATATTATCAGCTCAGTAGTCAGTACTTTGGTACTGACGTGATTTATAGCAAACCTTTCTTAAAGGGACATTAGCTGTCAAATTCAGGTTCACCGATTTGGCTCAAATTCTCATATTTGATTTAAAATATACTAAAACGTATATCCAAATTACAATAAGTCTGAAAAAATGAATTAATAATGCACCGACTCGATAACATATATCAGCATTTCGTGTGTATTTTAGTCTAAACGCCATCTAATTAACCATCGAGATGACCTCCGAAGACTGCCGACGGTCACATAACACGATATAAACATAAACATAAATATAAATAGATAGCGACGTCGTGCAATTGTACTTTTCTACTTGTCTGTTTGATTTCATGTTATAGGTTAAAAAACAAGTTAATCATCGTTTTTACCTGTATAAGAATGATTTTTGGTGGATCGAATCAGTTAACGAAATGGTTCACCTTTGTTTCACTTTCAATGTGACATTCTTTTTCTTTTAATGGCTGAACACGACTAATACATGCGTAACTAATCTCTAGCTAATGGGTTCAATTGAAGGTCACATGAATACGGATTCAATGAGGTCGAATTATTCACTTGCAAGTGAATAATTCATCAGCGATGTTTCTTAGCTTATTTTGACCAAATTTAACTAAACTGACTGCTAATAGCGAATTATTATTCCACTATTTCACTTTCATTAATGATTGATAAAAAAAAATCATATTTTATTTTTTTGATATCTCGTAGCTAATGCCCCTTTAAAGTGCCACTTTATGAATTTAGTAAGTTAATAAAGAAACTAAGGTTTCAGCTTCCTCAAGCAAAGTTGACCTTAGATTTGGCTCTTATTTGTACGTCCTTTTTGGTCATATAACTCTTCAAATGTTTCGGTTCTTATACATCCTTAGCTTTCAAATATTCGGCTTTGAGCGTTCTTCGCGAAGGTAAATTCAAAAGCATTTCGGACGCAGGAAATTTATTAAGTCTTATTTTGTAAGGCGATCGTGACGTAGGAATGTGAACGTGTGGTATACGTGTGCAACAATTTCGGCCCCCCAACTTCAGTGTAAATCTACAATTGTTTCATGTAGTTCATTTACAAATTATAACAAATCTTAAGAAAAAGTGGATGAATTAATAGTTGATTGTTTAACGTTCAGCGGCAGCAATTAGAGGCATTTTAGAAGAAAAACATTCAATATGATATAACAATGATATAACAATGAACCCGGAAGTACAAATTTGCCACTTTTACTTTTAAAAAATAAACGACAATGTCCCGTCAAAAACGAATACAGACTTTAAAATAGGTAAATTTCTGATAAATACATTACTTTATTTATCCAATGCCAAGCGTTCCGAATTCATTCCACATTTCAGAATTTACCGTGAAATTACGAAGATACAAATTTCTAATGTTCAAGCAAAAAAAACCTTTTTGAGCTATAAAGCCGAAACGATCATTATGAAAGGAAACACACAAGAGCGAACAGTTCACTTTTATTATGTCGAATCAATTTGAAAGTCAAAGTTATTAATGTACACGAACAGGCAACAGTTTTCTACATGTCATAAGTGATTTAGTTTTAGAACATATAATTTGACTATTATCGTTGCAAATGATACACAGCACTTTGCAGAAAACAAATAATATTCAATTCTATTAATCATATGACTGGCATTTTTAGGAATAGAAAACTTTTTGGTGATGCGCAGTGTGCGTATTACTAGACCAAATTGCTGAACGGGATTTTTATCTTGATAGATGCATACGAAATTATTCATTTTTGTACTATTTCTGTTCATCAAAATAACTTTCATACCCGATACAACAAAAAAAGAACAAAATCTATTGGTTTTTGTCCTATGAGACAAAATATATCCAATTGGAGACAAATCTCTCCTATGGAAAAAAAGATTTGTATAGGACAAAATAGTCTCTTATATATATCTTTAAAAAATGGTGTGCCAGATTTGTTATCATGAAAAGTGCAAATTAATCCGAGAAAGTGTTAAATGTTTATTTTAATGAAAAAAATAGGTTCCTATATCAAAAACGGTCTTAAAGGATTCTTGATATATGTGCCTGATCTTTAAAATTTGTTTATTTACATAGTGCCTTCAAATACATCTTATATTTTTTGTATTTTTCATATACGTATTTAGCTTAGCTAAATGAAAGTAAAGATCAGACGATGAAAATTATAGTTAGGAGAAAATATATGTCTGTGTTAAAATCGCCACTGTAAATTATAGGTACTTCTTAATCCGCAATCTTCATTTATCGCTTAAAGACCTAACAACTTAGTATATTGTATATAATTCTTGATGGAATACCTTCATATACATATATAGGGTGTGGGTGCATGCCGGACTCAGTAGTAAATAAAATTGAGAATTGAAACGGGGAATGCGTCAAGGAGACAACAGATCTACCAAAGAGCAGAAAACAGCCCAAGGCTACCAATGGGTCTTCAATACAGGAAGAAAATCCCACACCGGAGCTGGCCCCAAAACAATAATTAATATATACTAGTTCAGCGAAAATGGACGCCACACTTAAGTCCGAAACATATAAATAAACCGAAATAAAAAAAAACCATACAAGACTAACAAAGGCCAAAGGTTTCTGACTTTGGACAGGCGCAAAAATGCGACGGGGTTAAACATTTTTTTGTGAGATCTCCCCCCCCTCCCCCCCCCCCCCCAAATACCTCTATCCAATGTGGAATAAACAAACGCACAGCCATACGTACAGTTGGCTACAGTAATGAAGGTCCCGGATTCAATCCTGACTCGGGGCGGTAAAATTTTCAGTACATTAGAAGGGTGATTTTCACTCTCCCGCACACATCTCTGGTACCCAAACCGGCGTTTAAGCTAGAATGGGTACTTTGGGGGACTCGGTTGGTCAAAGTGGCCCCCGGCTCTGACCTGGAGATCAATCTGTGGATATCTGTTTGGTTTGTCTGTTTCCGCCGAAGAGCCCGGTTGTTCTCTCCGAGTACTTTGGCTTCCTCCACCATAATAACAAAATAACAAATTCCCGGTGTCCTAACACTCCTTTGGTTTTTGGTTGGAGATTGTCCTTGGTGGTTGGTTGTATATATAAGTTAGTGACACATCTCCATTAATCATTATAGAGAGTGTACACAGATTCCACTGTACCATCGCAGCTCTCGAAGGGTGCTTCGCATATCGGAGGAATTTACGTACATATATACATATGGCCATCCGGAAATGACTGAGACAAATATGACGTGCAATGCACTGCATGCAATTAAGGGAAGTTGAATATGAATTTGTCAAAAAAGCAAATAAGAAAACATTTCAACACTGGAGAATTGAAGACTCAAGTTGGACGTTATTTATAAGATTAAGTCCAATGGAATCTCGAGTTTATATTTTAAATATACATTTAATTTATTATAATTTCATCTATCACAAGGTTGCAACACGTGAGCATGGTACACACAATGATATTGCAGCCCAATACACGAATATTATATTATTAACATTATTCTATATTGGTATTATTTCAATAGGTTTTTTCTATAGGAATTTGATTTTGAATAAACTGTGACAGCATATTCACCTGCGGCAAAGTGATATTCACCGCGCTGAACGCTACGTGCATTTAAATGTATAATTATGGTAAGATGTTTGATGGCAATTTGTTTTGGTAAATATTTGTCATTAAATACATTTTTTCTCTCGTGAATGTGCATAGAATAAAAAAAAATTATCATCCATTAGTGAGGTAAATATGTGGTTTAATTCTCATTTGTATAACTGATATTCACTTCGGCCGTTGGTATATATGTTGTGTACAAGTTATCATTTTGTACAAATTATAATTTGTACAAAAAAATTATACAAATTATTATATGATAATTTGTATGTTAACCTTGTACAATTTATAATTTGTCCAAACAATGCTTGTACAAATAACAGTTTGTACAAAATTTGACTAAAATTCACTTATAACTTGTACAACGGATATATGATAATTCAACATTATAGAAAAGATGGCCTTTTATATATTTTTAACAGAAATAAAATTGAGAATGGAAACGAGGAATGTGTCAAAGAGACAACAACCTGACCAAAGAGCAGAAAACAGCCACTAGGCCACCAATGGGTCTTCAACACAGTGAGAAAATCCCGCACCCGAAATCGGGTTTCAGCTGGCCACTAAACAAAAATGTGTACTATTTCAGCAAAAATGGACGTCACACTAAACTCCGAAACATATAAATGAACCAAAATTAAAAAAAACAAACATACAAGACTAACAAAGGCATACATTTTAATTGCTTTGAGGAAAACATTTTTGCATTCAACTCTTTTTGAAGACTTTTGAACTGTTCATCATTTTGTGGTCAATTGTTTGATATATATCCCCAGTGTTTGTGAACACTCTTATGGCAGTATACTCATTTGATGAAATAGTGTAAACATGGCCAGCTTTGTTGATCAGCAGGATAAATTCGTCAAAAAATTCTTAACCTAGCAGAGAATATTGAGAAAACTTATGGCCTAATTTATAATAAAACAATTTACGAAAAACAAATATGACAGACATAAACCAACGAAAACAAATCAATTGCTCATACATTGTTGTCAATATAATGGAATTCTATGCGACTGTCATACAAGCGAGAGGTTTTAGCTGGCTATAAAACCAGGTTTATTTCACCATTTTCTGCATAAGGAAATGCCTGTACCAAGTCAGGAATATGACAGTTGTTTTCCATTCGTTTGATGTGTTTGAGCTTTTGATTTTGCTATTTGGGAAAGGACTTTCCGTTTTGAATTTCCTTAGAGTTTGGTATTTTTGCCTTTTTACTTTTAACAGGCTCCAGAATTGGAACAGGCACGTTACCACAAATTACTTAAAACCTTTACTAAATTTTTCCATAGATACAAAGATTTGGTTTGCAAGTTTTAGTTGTACTTGTAGAAAACTTATTTCAAACGGAATAGCACATCCTAAATTTTACGGTGATGTTGTTAACCGAGCCCGGAAATTTAGATACGATCCGGGTAAAGTTATCAATCCTTGAAATAAGGTTATTCTAAAGGTTACCAATTCAACACTGTAATTAAATCTTTGAATATTGTTTTTTTTTTTAATCTTTATTTTGTTATCAGTAAATTAAAACCATACCAAAAATTATTGTTATGCACATATGTACTTTCACGGTACTACAATCTGTCGATACCTATATTTTGGCATTGCACTAGGTCATGCTTTTTTCGGACTGTTAATGACGTTTTTCAATCCGTTGGATTGATATTTAAGTCTAGTAAGATACATGATTTTTTTTATTAGGTCTCGAATAAATCGACTATTTACGGAATGAGCTATCAACTACACAAAGTTTTGTTATCGGCGTCTTTGTCAATCTACCATCAACTACAAACAAATTTTTGTTGGCGTCTTTGTCAAATTTACTATTAACTACAGCAACATTTTTGTTAAGATTAATTCATATGTTTTTTTTTTTTAATTTTTAGTCAGTTGGGTTTTATGTCTGTGATGTATGTTTACACAGTTTTGAATGCTGGATCCAAATTATTGTCACATTAACCTTTATGTCTGTTTGCTCTATTTGCTC